TACAATGATCACATATGTACAAAGTAAAAAAAACAACAAAAAACAAAGAAAAATCAAGATCAACGATAATGGTGGTAGTAATTCACTGCACAAGAATAAAACATATAAGCCCTGTGCTGAAATATTGTACACTTCATCAAAGGGTGGTGCAATAGACTATGATTACTTTAGTTAAAATATTCATAATAAGCATGTGCATTGAGCATTAAACAAAGACAACCATATCATCAACCAACTATTTGAATAATAGAACTGGCAGCTTACTGCTGAGTCCAGCTAACAAAATAAAATAACTGATAAAGTCATTTAAAGTTTCTGCTGCTAAAATCTTATCCATTACCTGGCAAATCAGTTATATGATTCCAGGAGAAAATCTTTCATTAAGCTCTGAGAGTTTAGTATGCACTTTTAGTTTGTCTCTGAGGGCATCTTTATGTGTGTTAAAATGTACAAAAACTTTGTACTTTGTTCGTTGTTTGACCACCATAATATTCTGAATTTCAAACCACCTGACGCCATCCCTAACCAACCCCATTGAACCTGTTTGTTTCTTATTCAATCTTTGTTCTGTTTAATATCACCATTTTTAAGAGCAGTGTTTTTTTTTTTTTTGTTTTTTTTTTACAATAAAAAAAATATTAATGGTTTTAATTATTAATGTGTTGATTAATTTTTTTTTTTTTACTTTTTTTTTTTTTTTTTTTCATAGCAAAAGGTTTAACTTTCTGATTTTAGATTAAAATCAGCAGATCATTACCTGGCTTTTTCAAAATAAATTATATGATGAGGCCCAGTATAATGTAACAAAAGAAAGGTGTTACATTTACTTAATGTTTTACCTGAATTTGATTTATATTTAACTATCAATTATCAAAATAAATATGTTACATGTACTTAATATTTTAAATATATTTATTCTTTATGTTCAACACTACAATACACTTCCAATCAATACCTGAAATGAAGCAACTGCACAAATATGACATTTTAATTAGACATTTATTTGTCAAATGTTTAAATGTGTAAAGATATCCACAACTCTTACAGAACAGAACCAGTCACAATTGCAATACTCAAGTAAACAATAAGACAATACATCAGCTTATTTGTGTGTGTAAACCGTAAAACACATCAGAAAACTCTTCTTTGTAAACATTAAAAGGAGAACTCCGGTGCAAAATGAACCTGGGGTGTAATAACACATTGATACCATTCTGAACTGTTCTCTGGTATTTATTTTCATGATAATCGAAAGTAAAGCTTGCCGTGCTACAAGCTGAATTGTGATTTGGAATCTCATGGCTCAGCTTGTAGTACGGCGTCCGTGGTTCGATTGGTCTAGACTGTTTTCCAAAGATGGCTCCTGCCTTTATAGGCGATGGTACTGTCTTCTCGTGTTATAAGCTAAACAATTTAGAGATAAAACTCTTTACATTCGATTATCATGAAAATAAATACCAGTCGTCTCAGTACCAACGTTATTACACCTCATGTCCATTTTGCGCCAGAGTTCTCCTTTAAAGACAATACATCAGTTGACTTGTGTGTGTAAAGAGTAAAACAACACATCAACAAACTTCTCTGTAATCATTAATACAATACATCTTCCGACTCGTGTGTGTGTGTAAACCGTAAAAAAGTACATCAGGCAACTTTTAAACCAGGTTACCCTCAGAACAAGTATACCTTTCCAATAAAACATTTCTGCATGAAAAGAGCATCTTGTTGGACAGTTGTCAGAAAGTTTTGTACGCAGATAATTTTTTTTGTCTCTGTACCTTGTTTTAAAGGTTTCCAGGATCCAGCTCCAGCAGTACCTTTGGGAAAAACTCAAAACTGTATGTGAGATTCTTGGGCTCAGGTCCAAGGCATATGTCAGTCCCAACAAATAGCAGCAGACTCTGCTAAAATCTCCAAGACTGCTGAGAACAGTGATACCCCCAATCACAATCCCTACATCTGTAGGTTCATTCACACATCTTCATTCCAGTTAGAGCGTCCCCACAAACTTTCATCAAAAAGTTACACCCTTGGTTGAAGTGAGGAGTCGTAAAGGTTAAGACGCAAGAGGTTATGCTTAAAAATATGTTGGAAGCGTATAATGAAAACTTTTACTGAAGATTAGTACAGGAACAGATCAGATTTCAAAATGCAGATGACAAACATGTATAACATCACAAAGCAGTAAGTCAGAATACAGATTGTTAAAAACAAATAATGTAGGATGGCACCCACTTTGCTTCCAGAGGAGAAGGGATGCTTGCTTCTATGCTCATCTTTCAATGTACTGCTATAACTTTTCTATTTCTGGGTGCATGAAAACCTTGGTCAACAAAATTTGACTATAAAAATAAAATAGATAACAGACAATATTTTCAGTTATTTTTCAGAACTAAGAGCATCACATTTTCTCCCAGTCAATCAAATTGATTGAAAAAATGCAATCCTTCACAATAAGCATGCTTGTAGCGACAGTGGAGAGGAAAAATGATCCTTTTACAATAAAAAAATATTAATGTTTTTAATTATTAATGTGTTGATTTATTTATTTATTTTTTTTTTTTAATATTTATATATATAGCAAAAGGTTTAACTTTCTGATTTTACATTAAAACCAACAGATAATTACCTGGCTTTTTCAAAAAAGAGGTGGCAAAAGGAGAAATTATATGATGAGGCCTAGCAGTGCAGCAGAAAGTGTTAACAACATATACTCCATTATATCTTATATAGGCCACACCGTCATTCAAGTTTATGCGGCTTTGTGCATTTGATTTCCAAACAATCACATATTAGATATTTGGAAGAGATATGACTTCCAGAACTTGTCATAAGCTGTTCATTCTTAGATGGTGTTAATGATGAAACTACTGATGGATGCTAGAGGTGCAACATATCTATATCTCTAGACTATGTCTGTTATCGCCCTCTCCATCTCTCACAAAACAGAGTCTGTATGTATGTGTACTTGTTTATGCTATCTACTTTAAATACATTTGTGAACACGTTTATTGCGGTTATTAACATGCTCAAGCCAGAACATTTACACATCTATATTTTTTAATTTCACCGAATAGATATAGACTGAAGCCAAGGCTTAAGATGCCTATCCTGCTTACAAGTCTAGTCAACCATTCAACAAAACACTGACTTAAGTTGTTACAACAAAATAGATCATATGTTAACAAAACAGCTTATCTTAAACATCTAAATTATGTTTAACAATATCTCTGATACAATACAATCCGCTAGTTCTAAAAATATGTCGGATAAATAAAAAAAATCATTGACGCAACTCAAAGGGAAACCATCCATCAGCCGCTGTGGTTGTCTCCTCCTACGTCCGCAGCACATATACATAAAGGCCAACAGCAGCAGTCAGTCGCCATTTTTCTCTTTGTTACTGAACAGAGGTAGACAGAATGAGCGGCAGAGGAAAGGGAGGTAAGGGACTCGGTAAAGGAGGCGCTAAGCGTCACCGTAAAGTTCTCCGTGATAACATCCAGGGAATCACTAAGCCCGCTATCCGCCGTCTGGCTCGCCGCGGTGGAGTTAAGCGTATCTCCGGTCTTATCTACGAGGAGACCCGCGGTGTGTTGAAGGTCTTCCTGGAGAACGTCATCCGGGACGCCGTCACCTACACCGAGCACGCTAAGAGGAAGACTGTGACCGCCATGGATGTGGTGTACGCTCTGAAGAGGCAGGGCCGCACCCTGTACGGCTTTGGAGGTTAAACTGAGCCGCTTCTCTAAACTAAACAAAGGTCCTTTTCAGGGCCGCCAACCTGCTGGTTAAGAACACGATTCCCACTAAAAGTGTCTACAAAACAAGATTATAAGGGCTTAAAAAGGGTAACAATTTTTAAGGAATTTTTTTGAATTGTCAACTTTAGCAACTACAGTATGACATATTTTCTGTATGGACAGGTTTTGGCTGTAATCAAAGCAATCATGTCAAATGTACAGTTTGGCTTACTGCAAATCATAATATACAGATATGTTAATATTTGTACTTTTCAGTATTGCATATATTTCTGGGTGGACAGAATTGAAACTTTGTATATATTAGGGATGTCTTTTTTTTTTTTTTTTATTAGTATACATTGTTTTTGAGTCCTTTATCATTACAGCACTAAAAACCAATAACAGTGTATGGTGGTACCCTTGTGTTCTCAACTAGGGTAGCATTCAGTAAACTTTTGTGCTTAATTTTGAAACGTGTTTGGATTGAATAACTGTAGGTCCATCAGCCACTGTTTGAGCATCCCCACAAACTTTTTTTTAACCAGTTTTATTTGAATTGTCACTTTTAGCAACTACTGTACGACATACATTTTCTGTCTGGACAGGTTTTGGCTCTACTCAAAGCTGATTATAGCCATCAAATTCCATTCAAGGTGACTTTTCATAAATTAATTCGGCAATTATCTCAAATGTGTACACTTTGGATGTTGGCAAATCATAATATGCACAGAATTTTTAATATTTGTACTTTTCAGCATTATTTTTCTGGAAGGACAGAATTTAAATTGTTTTTATATATACTAGGGATGCCTGTGTTTTTTTATACATAGTTTTTAGTCCTTTATCAATAAAGCAATAAAAGGCATCTAACTACCTATAAATAGCCATGTATTGTGGTACCCTTCAGTAAATTTTTATGCTCATTTTTGAAACGTAATGAAAGTGTTTGGATTGAATAGAGCATCCCCACAAACTTTCATCACAAAGTTACCACCTTGGTTGAAGTGAGGAGTCGTGAAGGTTAAGACTCAAGAGGTTATGCTTAAAAATATGTTGGAAGCGTTTAATGAAAACTGTTTTACTGAAGATTAGAATAGGAACAGATCAGATTTCAAAATGCAGATGACAAACATGTATAACATCAACACTTCTAGGTCAAAGTTAGATAAGTAAAGTATAATTAAATATCTTAGATTTCAAAAGAAGTTGTTGTTCTTTCCCCCTTTCTCTGGCTGACTGAGAGACCGATGGGCCTGCTGCATTCCAGTCTGATTAAACAACACCTCACTTATTCAAAGTCCAGAGGATAAGAAGCAAACAAGGCCCTGAGCTCGCCTCTATCTTTTTTCTTTGCATAGATTTGCACAAACCTACAGGGATTATTAAAGTTAAAGTGGACTCAAAACTTTAGCTTCTGATGGAGAAAATATGTTGATGTTTTCCAGATGAGATGCTGTTAATAGAAACATCATTCGACAAATAGAACTGATATGTGTGCAACTCAATTCTATTGTTTATGAGCATCGATTAGGAAACATAACATCCTTAAGAGGGATTATTCCTAGCTATAAGTTTGGAGCCAGATAATATCTGGCAATAGGATAAATAAATTAAAAAAGGACACAAGGTCCAAAGGATGAAGATGAGAATGTGTGGGGCTACTCACATTTTGAACAAAGCCGATAGCATTTAAGATAGCATTAAAGGCTGCTCTTAAGCTATCACCTTCAATGTCAGCATGGATGTTAAAATCCCCCACTATGATGAGCCTGTCAGTATTTAACACCAAATCAGATAGGAACTCTGAAAACTCGTCTAAAACTTCAGAGTAAGGACCTGGTGGACGATACAAAGTTACAAAAAGTAGAGGTTTTCTTGCTTTGCAATTCGGATGAGGGAAACTAAGGGTTAAATGTTCAAAAGAGTTGTAATTATTAATAAAGTTCTCTCCTGTTTTTGTTATTTTAGCAGATAAGATAATTGTATTTTCCTTCATGTTTCTTTGAGAATGGTAAAATTAACTGTTTTGTTTGCTATTTTGGCCTGAGGCCCAATCTGAAGTCCTAAAATTACTTTACATGTTTTATTTCTTTATTATCGAAACGTTGATTCTCTGGGAACTGAATTTTACAAATTACTTGAGGATATTTGGAAATTATAAAAGTAACAAGACTGAACATCATACAGAGAGGACAATCCAAGAAACAGTGGGATGAAAATACAACAATTTATTTTAATTTAAACTTTAAATCCAGAAACCGGACTCACGAAAACAATTAACAGTAATAATGCTATGGATGACATAGATATGTCGAGAGTTACATCAGGGGTCTGCAACCTGCGGCTCCAGAGCCACATGTGGCTCTTTGAACCCTCTCCAGCGGCTCTTAATATAGGCTAAAATGTATATAAAGAGCTAAATAATTTACTATAATATATACCGGTATCAATAGCTTTAGCGTTTTTTATAATATGGAAAAGAATGAGATTAAAAGAACCAGAAATATGTTTTAAGAGACATTTTTCTATGAATTAGCTTGAAAATGATACGTTTAAACATTAAAAATATATGAATTGATTGTTTGAGATAGCAACAACTAATTTCCTATACAAGATAAAAAAAAAAGGTTTTCTAGAAAAAGTCATGGTATATTTTGCGGCTCTAAAAAACTTTTATTTGGTTGTACTCTGGGCAAAACGGCTCTTTGGATATGAAAGGTTGCAGACCCCTGGGTTACATCCATAGATTTGGTTTCAAAATACTGGTCATTTTTTTCTGCCGCAGCAGAGCTGCGGGTCCTGGTTGGGTAGCGGCTCCTTCTGGAGCTCAGCGCCGCCCAGAGGAGGCAGCGCCCCGCTGAATCCTCGCTGCTGATTGGAGGAAGCTGC